ACGCCGGCCTCTCGAACTTGTTCCACGCGCACGAACCGGAACGCGCGTTTTCGCGCCGCAAACGGCCGATGCGAGCGATCGTTTCGCGCCGCGCCAAATCCCCCCGTAAAAAGTTCGCTCCGTACTGCGCGTCGGTCATTGAATACAGATTAAAGTGCCAATTGCTCCACGGCAACTCTCCCCCCCACCCCCTCCTCTCCGTTTCCGACCATATTTTGCGAGGAGAATGCGACGGATGGATCGCTGCTGCGATGTTTTCGAGATTTAGAATCGAAGCGTTGAGAGAAGGGTTAAGAGGAGCACGACGAATTTCGTTCCAGTTTAACGTCGAGATTAATAGGCTTCAGCAGTAAGTCGAGCGGTTCAATTATATCGACTGATTAAATTGACATTTCGGTTAAATAATGTCTCATCTTTTAAGTTATCAAATTCATGAGATTCATAGAATTTTTAAGATCTCAGAGATCTTCTTCCGCTTACTTTGCAATTTTAAATGGTTAAATCTCTTCGCACCTTTTCTTTTTTTTCAGAATTTAAAGAAGATTTTCTACATCTTTTAACTCTAATAATTTCTTTTGAGCGTTGAGAGAGGGTTAAGAGGAGCACGACGAATTTCGTTTCAGTTTAACGTCGAGATTAATAGGCTTCAGCAGTAGGTCGAGCAGTTCAATTATATCGACCGATTAAATTGACAGTCCGATTAAATAATGATCATTTTTTAAGTTACCAAATTTATGAGATTTATAGAATTTTTAGGATCTCAGAGATCTTCTGCTTACTTTGCAATTTTTAATTGTTAAATCTTCTCACCTTTTCTTACTTTTTCAGAATCTAAACAGGATTTTCTACATCTTCCAACTCTAATAATTTCTTTTTAAACTGAAGAAAGTTTTGGATTCTTTGGCTTTCCTTGGATTTTTGTAGTTTTTCGAGCGTCTCGTTCTACTTATCTAATTCTTTCTAATCTTTAAATCTTCTTTTATTTGTTTGGTATCGGAAACTTCTTATTCAAACCTTGTGAGAAAGAACTCGAAATGATCTCATAATAATTTCGAAAAGGGCTTCGTCTATTGAAATAATAAATTTTTACCATCGAATTTTGTCATCGTTGCGACAACGCCGTATTTCATTCGGCGACGTCGACGTCGTATATTTCAGCCGGCGGCTGTGCCGGATTTATCGTTTTAATTTCTGACGGGGATTGAAGCGGGAAGAAAGAATAAAGATATCGCGGGCACCCGGGGGACTCTTTTCCTTGGAGAACGTGAAACAAAGTAGCGGCGAAGGTACATTCATCACGAGTTATTAAACAAGGACAAAAGATGGACGAAAAAGAGATTAGGAGATAGAATCAGCTAATCATTACACTCGGTTGTAACAAGTGGCTGATGATTAAATCGCTCTCGTCAGTAAACTCTTTTCCACATTGGTATTATTATTAACTTATTATTATTGATATAATCGTTGTCACCTTCCTTCTAATTAATATGAAATTTATACAGTCTCGACCACAAGTATTCAGCACTCTCAATTTATTGTATAATATTTTTCTGGAAAAGGTGATAATAAGAATCAAAGGAGAACTAATGAAATATTTAAAATGTTATAAAAATAAATATTATTTTTTAATAAAACTGCATTTTACTTTATTTTTCGTTAGAATGTTTGTCATTTTGGGGGACGGAGTGCTTTATATTTATAGCCAAGTTTAACATAGTATTTAAAAATCACAATCAAAGACAAAATTTAAATAAAAGAAATTGTAAAATGTATAACATTCCTTTTTTAGCAGTATTAAATGTTAATAAGCAGCATTGCTAAAAATAGTTAATGATTTTTATCAGTGATTATTTATAAACTCTGCAATCTGTGTATATTTTCGAGCAGACGTGAAATTCACTCTTATCAGGAGTTGGAGGGGGCGTATTATGTATTAAATTATGGTCAGCCGGAGGCCGGCCATAGGTGATACCGATGCGCAGCAGACGGGGATGGCAGGAGGCGAGACAACCCTGTCTCGCGAAATTAACCCTCGAGATCGCCGCTGCTTCCAAAGGATAATTTCATTTGGCAGCGAGTCCTGGTCGCCCGCGGGCTGTCTGGCCGCCATTTTCTCTTTCTCTCTCTCTCTCTAGCCTCCCTCTTTTTTTATTTACCGCAGAATTTATTCTTGTCGCAATTTCCGTTCCTACGCCTTTGTCGTGACAGAAGAACTGACACGTTTCGCTACGAAACGCAAGTTAATGAAATTTATTTGACAATTCTTGGATTTCGGGAAAATCCCGAACTTTTCCCCTATCGAAGGAAGGAAACTTTCCCCGGAAAGAGCGATCCGACGGGCTTACGGGCTTTCACGGACGTGATAAACCGCCAAGAAGCCGGACAGGGAAGGACAGCGCGTCGGTGGACGGGTCAAAACGGGACAAGGGTGAAGAAAAAAAAAATAAGGTCCGCGCCTTCCCACGAGAACGATCGAGAGAATGGCGTGAAAACGTCTCCATTTGCGGAACAGAGTCCGATTTTTTCGAAGTCCATCTTCCATGCTTTATCCTCAGGGGTTATTCACCCTCAGATTTCACCCTTGTCTGTGACTTTCACGCGGAAGAACTTGGAGTATTCCGATTGGCGTTTGCTCGGGCACGCAAAAAGCCTGGCGTTCCTCGCCGGTCGATTCTCCAGAAAGAATTGCGAGAATGATCGCAGATTTTCCCCGCAATGCACCCGTGACATTTAACGCCCCTCTTAATATCACTCCGGCGCGAATGTGAAACGGAATGTTGTATAATAATTATTCTCCATTATTATATTTTCAGGGCGTCATATTTTTTCGGAATTATAAAATCTATTATTGTTTATTAAATATACACGGTATGCCAAAAAAAAAGTTTTTTCCTATAATGCAGACCTATACAGGGGAGAAAAATTTTAACAAGTTAAATCTCGAAATTGTCGAGATTTTTTGAAACAGGTTTCTTTATTAGTAATCTATTTTGTTCCGTTTTGCATTTTCCTACAAATCCAACGACGCGGCGTCACGATGCGAAAAATTTTTATTTCGCTTTATTTCTATGTTTTGCTTCCATCGTTATATATAAAATGAGACATAAATGAGACGAAATAAGTTATGGCAATAAATGTTGCAACGTTGTAAATGGAACAAAATCTTGGCGTGCATCTCTCTCTCTCTCTCTCTCTCTCTCTCTCTCTCTTGCAAGCATGCAATAACGATCCCTTTCCCGGGGGTAGCTACCCTCTCTCGTACCTGTAACATCAATTAAAATTCTCGTGGTCGATGCGCCGCTGTTTCGCGCGATCGTCCGACGTTTTTAATTGGATTAGAGTGAGACGGCTAGCGCGACTGAGGGGAAGGTGGCTCGTTCCGAGGGTGCGAGATTGCGGAAAGGGGTTGGCGGGATATTTCGGGGTGGGGCGCAGGGGGAGGGGGGAAGGGCGGGTTTGCGAGGTAGCGCGCGGTAAATGACAGAGATGTGCAACTCTGTGTTCCCTTTTCCAGCCGATTCCACCGATTCCGCCGGAAGGGAAGGCGTCGCCCGGAAATGAGGAAATTAACTTTTCCATCGCGGCTTAATTCGCTTCCATTGAAAATTTCATGTCGCATTTGAAGAATGCGTGTCGGTACTCGCGACATTGTTCGCACCTATTGACGTTGCTTCAGTTCAAGCTTACTGTTAGTGTTATTACTTGCGACGTACTTTGATAAAAGCAGTAATACTCTTGCGAATAATTGGGAATCGCTTTTTGTTTTCAAATTTCTCGAAACGCGCGTTACAATAAACGAGCGATCCATATCGTGCGTCGCATCTGCATTCGCAACACGCCGCATTAATTATGTATTCAATAAATTTTAAACGCATTGAAATGAATTCAAATTGCAGATTAATATTAAACGGCGTGCGCTAATTGGCCGGCCAATTATGCGGCGTTAATTAAACATTAGAAGCGGCTACTAATGTGAACACCATTTCGCCATCTATCTGATTTCTCCTCGAGTTAAGAGCAGTTTTGTGTTAGAACGGTGCCATCTCTGAATGGAAATTGTAATTTCACTTAATTGCATTAATCTTTCTGCATATACCATCCGTCGATTTTATTTTTTAAATAAATTTTTTGCTATATAAATTCATAAAATTTGAAGTATAATACTTTAGATTCATAATTTGCACCTCTCTCTGATAACCGGGAAAAGTATTTAGCTTTTTCAAAATAGTTTTATCGATATATGCTATAAATTTTAAAATGCACAC